AGACCAGCCTTCAAACAATACTTTCTAAAAGGGAGCATTTCAAGCTTTTTTTCTTCCCTTGGAGAAGAAGTTCTAATACGAAAGTAAAAATTTCAGTCTCAGCTCGAAGCTCTTCAGAGCTCCTTGCTCTTGCTGTGCCTTTTCCTTTCCTTTCCTTGCAGTCCCCAGCGTGGTGCACCAGGGTTGGTACCTTCACAAGGGCTTTTAAACAGAGATGCAGCTATTGCAGAGGTTTTGGGCAGAGGGTGCCTGGGCAGCCAGCAGATGTGCTGAGTGTCCTGGCCCTCTCTGGAGCTCCCCAGCAGCTGCTGGCAGAGCAGGGCAGGCTGGGCAGGTGGCAGGGCTGAGGTGTGTCCTTATTTCAGGACTTTTGGTTTGGGGGGGTTTTATCCTGCAGTTCTCTTCTTTTTAGAAAAGTATCTGCAGTGTATTCTCAGGTTTGGTTGGTTGCTTTTTTTTTATCCCTTTTCAAGAGGCTGACAGTCCTTCTAAGAGAATCCAAATGTTCACTGTTTAGTTTTTCATAACATAGCCTGATTTTTCACTTATTTAGTAAACTATAGATGGCAGATGCCAGGGCACACAATGCATCTGCTCTGTTTCAGCAGGATGGAGCTGCCAGAATCCCATTAAAGAATTGCAGTGGAGTTGTCCACAAAGAGACTTTATTTTGGCTACTCTTCATGGCAGCCCTTCTTCCTTCCCTCCTCTTCACCAGTGTCCCAAGTTATATGTTGTACTTGTCACGTCACTGCCTGGCATTCTGAGGTCCCAATTTTCCCTGCTGGTTTTTTGAGTGATTCATGGAAAGGGAGGGCCATCTTCATGGCAGCCCTGGCCATGCTTGCTAAGTTTGCTCCCAGCTCTCAGTTCTGCTTTCTCGGCGCTCTCGTGTAAACCACACAGTGGGACTGCAGCCTCTGTCCACGATGAGCTCATGTGGTGACAGGGCTTGGCTGCCCTGGGGACATCAGAGGCCTCAGAACACACACAGGAAGGGGGGAGTTACAGAGGCTTTCTCAAAGTCATTTTTAGGAGTTTTGTTGGCACAGTGGAAAGCACCACTGGCTGCAGCGTGGGTCAGGATTGAGCGGAGGAGGAGGAGGGTGTCTGACTCTCTTGGCAGCTGGAGGAACTGCTCGTGTGCCTCCTTCCTTAATTGCCATTATTCTTAGATTTGTTTTTCCTAAGCGCCCCAGGAACAGATGTAAAGGCTCCAACACGGTCCTTTTTCAAAAAAGTCGGTGATAAAAATTAATGATTTGACGATTTTAGGCTATCTAATTTATTGAGAAGAAAAATAATATAATACAAATACTGCATCATGCTCTTAATGTGACTTTCAGTCCATACCAGCTAACATATATTATGCTTGGAAAAAGCTCAGACATCAGGGGGTTGGAAAGAGCACAGGTGTAAGAGTATTGCAGGGGCCACCTTTGTTTGTTTACCCTCCAGTCAAAACGTTTTTGTCAGTGACTCTTTTTTGTCAGTACATCCTTACCCCCCTGGTATCAGCACTGTGAGTTCAGCATGAGTAAATCTAGAATAGCAGGTGACAGGAGGCTCTGGGGTGGTTCTTTGCCAGGTATGTTCCTGCAGTTCTTTCAGTGGGCCATCAGACCATCTCCAGGGCAGGAGGCTGGGAATGGCTCGTGGGCACTCACAGTTCCTGCCCTGCTGCAGATTTGCAGGGCTTGGTGTGCTGGAAGCTGAGTGCCAAGTATTTTTGGTTGTTGAAACTCCTGATGTGTCCACGGCATGAACTCTTCGATTTCAGGACATTTGGAAGGAAACTGGCAATGTTGGTTAAAATACATTCATTTTTAGGAACGTTACAACTCTGATGGGATCTGTGTGCTATTTACAAGTTTCTCTCACAAGCAAATATTTTTTTATCCTTTTGCTAAATAGCAGATGAAGGACATGCAAAGTAGCGTTCCTTCAAACTTAAAATCAGCATTTGACTAAAAAAAATGAAATATGCAGAGAAAAAAATGAATAACTACTGTTTTCTCATGGCTCATTATGCATGACTCATGGCAGGGTATTCCATTTCCCAATGGCAAAGATAGATGCATCTTTCTTAATTGAAGCAAGTCTCCTTAATCCTTGAGAAACTGAGCTCATTATTCACTGAGAGCAATTCTGGTGCTTTTGCATGGCAGCAAAAGGTATGCATTTCAAAAATTACAGCAAATGCTGCAGTTCAGAGGATTGATGAGCTGTGCCCGGCGTGTGGGACCCTCGGCTGAGAGAAGTCTGGAGAGTGCCATTTTACGTGTCTAAAAGGGAAGTTTGAGCTTCCTGTAATGGGCTGAGGACCAGCAGACAGTGCCACACTGGCAGGCACACTCCTCCTGCACGTGGTGTTCAGGAGCTTGTGGCATTTCCCAGGAAAGTGGTGTTTTGCCAATTGGCAGTGAAGAAAAGCAGCCCCAGTGCCTGGTGCTGCCCAGGGTGCTGCCTGCCTACAAACCAGGGCACTCCCCTGGTCTTCAATGAGCAGGTTTTATTTCTCCTGGTGCTCTTTGAGTGCGTGGGGCACAGCTGTGGTTCCTCACCGTGCCTTGGCAGGGTGCTTGGGGACAGAACCAGCGTGTTCCACATGTGTTGTCCTGCAGAGCAGAAGAGCACAAGCAGAGGGTGTCTGAGCCAGAGCTGTCATTCCAACACGTTACCATTGCTTGTGTAAATCCCCACTTACTGAATTGCAGAATTACTCCTTTATCCACACACACTGGTGTAAGATATTGTAATGAGTGCCTCTGGTGCACTGGAGGGTCGTTTGTCATGCCTTCTGCACAGCACTTGAAAGGGCAGAGCTGGTGGTGGTTCACCAGTGGCTTCTGCACACTCTGCAAGCAGCAGTGAGGTCACGAATCACACAGCTTCTTTCATATGTTTTGAAAGAAAAGACCACTTTAAGCAAAGCATAAATGCAACCATATGCCCGTATCTTGGAATCTTCACTGAAATTTGACAATAAAATTGCTGTGTGTGTGATTTGCTTTCTGAGGAAGGAACACTGTTGCTTTTAGAGCAGCAGTAGAGCAGCAATTAACTTGCTGGTCTTTTCTAGTTAAGTGTAAAAATGTTTATCGAGTGCAAAATTGGTAGAAGATTAGTAGAAGTAAGATTTTGGTAATTCTTATAGACAGTGCTTGCCTTTGTTTCCCTCTAGAAGAAAGAGGCAACAGTTAAAACCAGAAGAAATCTTGTTGCAGTCAGTTCAATAGGAGAAGAGTATGCAAAGTGGAACTGTTTCTGTTTTGTTAATCTTGGTAGAACTCTAAATAGATACTGTCACACTAATTTAAGACTTGTTGAACGACCATTTCATATTAAGAAAAATCTTTACAACACAGTTTACTTTTCTGTTGAAAGGAAAAAAAAAAGTGTGGGCTTTCCTTCATTAACCTTTCCACAGTGATTTTGATAGTCAAAGCTGAATGATTTGCCTTTTGGAAATTATGTAAAAATCTTTAATTAAACACCATCTTCTAATATTCAGCATCTCCACAAAGAGGACAGCTTGCAGAAGTTGCTTCAGGGGCTGAAAGGAAGATGCCCTTAAACACTAAAATCGTCAGTGCTGTGTGTGATTAGAGCTGTTTGCTTTAATGTGATTCCTCAGGAAGATTGCTGAGAAATCTGGGGGGTTGTGCACCAGCAGTGATGTTGGCTGACACCTTCAGAGTTCTGCATGGAGGAGAAGCAGATTGTTCCCTCAGTCAGAGTGTGACCCACCCAGATAGAACAGAGTGAAAAGATTGACTCACCCCTGAACACCTAAAGTGCAACCAAGGGCAGCACTGGAGACATAAAGCTAGCAGGTAGCAACTGTGATATTTAAGATAGTGGAGGTGTTTCCAAAACAACAATGGCAATGTGACCACTAAGGAGAGTGCAGGGGGAATTGTCTGCTCTGGAAACATGTTGGTTGCTGGGGGAATTTATTGAATGAGGTCTGTGTGCATCAGAGTGGGACCACTGCCCATGAAAGGAAAATGGAACTTCAAATCAGTTTTTAAGCAGAAGGAACAGCAGTTTTTAAACAGCAGTTCCCTGGGTGCAGTAACCAGTTAATCACTGGGAGCATCCAACTGGGCAGACAAGAAGAACGGTAGATAAGGGAGGCAGAAGTAAAGAACAAGGACAAGTCAAAGGTAGCCTCTTTAACTGTGACTGACCATTCTTAATTTCCTCTTTACAATGCCATCAACTCAAACTGTTTAACAGAATGATTTCTTTAAAGGAGAACTTACATTTGTTTTAATACAGGGGTGCAATTATCAGTCCCAGAGTTTTCTCAGTTTGATATTCTTGCCAACTTTGCAGGTGCACTGAAAAAGAAATTTTGTGTTAAAATGTGTGTTAATCTATTGATTAAATTATGCTTGTGTGTTACCATGTTATAATTCCAGAATTATATAATTCCTGATTCCTGAAGAAGCTGAAGTAAATGTTTCCCACGTAAAAATGCTGAGGGGAGATTTATTTGGAAATGATGTGACATGCTCTGCCATCCTGCATTGTAGCCTTTCTCTCTAAAATCTTGGTCCTGAAAACATTTACAGAAAAGGCTAACAGAAGGGAAATAAAATTATTTTGGAAAAAGAGACACAAAATTGTTACCTAACTGTTCTGGAAGTCTCTTGCTGCTTGTTAAGGTGCTGTTTGAAGCCTGGCTGCAGGAGGGCCTTTGGGGCAGTGGGATGTGCCCACCCTGCCCAGGGCTGGCTGGGGAGGCAGAGCAGAGCCCTGCACCCCTCTGGCTGCTGGTCCCTCACCTGGGATTCCTGCTGGTTATGGGGGATCACTGAATTGAGGGGCACAGAATGATTTGGTGTTAAAAATTAACGCTTTGGCTACTGCTTGAATTGTAAAGTTTCTGCCTTAAATTGGTTGTGGTTTTAGTCATGTTAATGCACTGAATAAATTGACTGATGACGTCAGAATTGCCTTTTCTGATCTCCAACGTGTGTTTGTTGCTGCAGGCAAGAAGACAGCAAGACCCTAGTCCTGGGTCTACCCTGGGCAGTGGAGATGATCTCAAACTCCGTTAATGGGCTGCACACGTGCATTGCTTCTACTTGGCAAAGGATTGAATAAAAGACCAGAAACTGTGAGAACTGGGTATATTATGGTCTGTTCCTGACCTGCGGCAGTCCGAGTCACCACCAACTGCCATGGTTTGCACTATGTTTATGTTACAATACCTGCATTTCCTATTTTAAGCATGTAGCCAGTGGCAATTTGAAATTTTGTTTTTTTCTATGCAAACTTATTTTTGTTGGCACTATTTTAGTGAAATGGAAACTTATGCAGCTATAAAACCGTTTTTCTCAACTGTAATAAAAATTGTCACTTAAAAATAAGTCAAGATATTGCAGATTTAGAACTTTTTTGTTGTTGTTTTGGTTTTTTTTAAAAAAAACTGCTGGAAGCCAATGCATTCCAAGCTTAATTTTTTAATATGGGCTTTTGGAATTTTCATTGTCCTAACTGTGCTCCTGCTTTATTTTAGATACGCATTCTTATCTTTCTTTCAGTTTTCTTTTTTTTCCAAATTTGCAAGACCTTCTTAAAACTGCTGACATTATTTTGCGTTATTTCCAAGCTAAACCCAGTGAATCAGAGCTGTTGGAATCAGTTTTCAAACTTCTGTGGGTTTGTAAACGTTACAGTTGCAGTATTCTTTTAACTGCTACCGATTCATTAGTTCCACTTTTTAAATGATAAAACTCTTCAAGTGTATGTTTTCAGGCATTAATGCATCTGCCCCGGTATCTGGCCTGGGTTTTATCTGTATCCCGTGAGTTTGGGTGGCTCTTGGCCCCTGTATATAGTGCTTTACTGAAACTCAGAGGAAGTCGCAGGCTGGCTTCTGCTTTATTCAGGGATTTTTTTAACTCCTTCTGGAAAGGGATACTGCAACTCCACAATCAGATCCAACAGCATTTCAACTGGGAACAAAATGATCAGCTGCCAAGGTGATATGTATGAAATCATGTTTAAGATAACTGCTTTAAGTATATTTTATATCTTAGGCTTTTTGTAAAGTTGTGCTGGATGGTGAAAAGCTGAGGTGAGGTTGTGTGCAGAAGCCTCACCCTGCACACAGGCCACTTCTATTAAATCTTATGCAAGTTAAGACTACATTGCAGTATATATTGCATTTTCTAACAGGGTAAGATTTGGGATGAATTAATGTGTGAATTAATCTTGGTTTATTTGGGGTGATGGTGAATGGACTTGTTCCAAAGTTTTCATTGCATCCAATATTTGAAGAAAATTGATTGGAAATGTGATGTCATTTGGCTTTGTTAAAATGTGGTGCTTCCTGTACAGCCTGATTGATTAAAATGTCACTTAAATACCTTTTTAAAATAGGTGATCTGACTTCAGTATTTTAAGAATTATTTTAAAGCTAGAAACTCTGTATGGTTAGAACAGTTAAATCTTTATTAAATTCTATAATTAAGACAATTACACGTTCCTCATTAATGGCAAAACAATTGATGCAAAAGAGGTCTTGCAAAAATGTAAGCAGATGTCAATGTGAAGGAGAATCTTTGTATGTTAATAATATGAATATTTAACATTCACTTAAAAATGTCATTAACTGTAAACTGTGAGAATCTCATCAAATAGAAATATTTTGATACTTCAATTTAAATGTGATTCACCTGAAAGATAATCTTTTTCACTCTGTGGCCACGTACTCTTCTTGCTTTTCTTCCCCCAAAGAAGTAATTTTTCTAAAGTGTTTCTGCAAAGAGTTATTTAAGGGACACACGCATGCAGCTGCACGCAGCCCTAGCCTTGGATCTTCTCTGCCATCTGTGTATTTTTGATGGAATAGTCTGAAGATTTATTTTAAAAGGTTTTCCTAACGTTTCAGACGGTGGTTTTGAACCAGAAGTACACAGGAAATGACGCTCTCAGATATTAACGTTGCTATCTCTGTGTAAATACTGAACTTTCCCTATCATCATTTAGCATTCTGCTGCTTCCCATATCTTAATGCTGGCATTAAGATCACAGCCCTTCCCCTCTGCTGGTTAGTGCAGACTTTTTAAAGTGCATTTTAAGTTATTGATGCAATTTGATATTTTTCATGATTTCTATTTAAACTGAAGTTGCATCATCTTTCTCGAATTCATCTCCTGTAAGAGTTGCCTTAAGCTACAGGATTGCTTTTGCTACTTTTTGTGTTGTATGTTTAACTTTCATAATAAACTTCTGTGTAGTGAAAACGAGGTGCCATAAAGTTCTTTCTGGCTGCCTGGCAGTCCAGGCTGAGGTGTTGGGGTTTGTGGGGTGACTGTCCAGCCGTGCCCGTGCAGGGCTGCCCTGCTGGCCGTGCCTAAAGCAGCAGTGACATCCAGTGGTCACTCGACTCACCGACCCCCCTCCCTCCGGGAGGGAACCTTTAATAAAAGGTCTGCACTGGGGAAAATGGGGATTTTGCTGCCCTAAAATTCTTGTTTCTTGGGACTGCTCTGCCCTGCTTGCTCTGAGAGCAGGTCGGTGCTCCAGCGCCCCAGGCAGTTGTGCCTGGTTGGGTTGTGCCCTCACAGGAGGGTGTTGTTTGTGGCACATTGTCATAGCAGCCATTAAACCTTGTTAATTGGGCTGCTTTGGACCAGGGAGAAAGAAGGGGGTTTGCACGTTGGAATTCAGGAAATGGGGAAATGTGATAAAATACTGTGGGCAAAATATGTAGTGCTGCCGTGAAGCTGCTAAAATTTGAGGTGGTATAACTTGAAATAGTTAATACTGAATGACTGACAGTGCTGGTTATGCACTGAAATCAAGCAGAGAGAATTGCTTAATAACTGGAGAGCTGCTTTCTGCTTTGAGAGCATTTACATGCAAACAGACAACGTGTAACCTTGTTGTATCCTTTCACAATCTGACTGTGAACAGATCAGAGAACAACTCCTAAAAACAGCCCTGCTGTGACCTGTGGCTTTCTGAAGGTGTTCTTCAGTTTGGGAGGTAGCTTGTAAAAGAGACATGCAGGGAAGAATTTCTTCTGATATCTAATCTAAACCTCCCCTTTATGTCAGTTTGAAGCCATTTCCCCTTGTCCTCTCACTTCATGCCCTTGTTGAAAGTCCCTCTCAAACTTTTGTAGCACTTTTAGTTACTGAGGGGGCTCTAAGGTCTTTTTGGAACCTTCTCCTGCCTGAACAACTCTGGTATACACAGGAGAGGTGCTCCAGCCCTCTGAGCTGCTTTATGGCCTCCTCTGGACTTGCTCCAGCAGGTCCATGTCCTTTTGCTGGGGACCTCAGAGCTGGATGCAGTGGTGCAGGTGGGAATCTCAATGTTTAGTCCATTTGCTGAGGTTCTCAAAGCCTGGATGAGCAGATTTTCCTGGTCTCTCTCAAGGGGAACAGCAGCTGTCCCATGTTCATGGTCCCCCCTCTGAAAGCAGAAAACAGAAAATGAAACTGGGGGTGGAAACAGCAGCTTTTCTGTTCCTGAAGATCTCTGGTGGTTTGTCTAATAACAAGCCTTGTTCAGGTAAGGGATGGGAAGTTAAATGAAGGAGATGTGGTTTTGGAGACCTTCAGAACTGCCTGGCCCAGCACAGTGTCAGCAGGACTTCAGCATTTATTTTTGCCTGTCAGTAGTTCAGGTCTCCACTCTATCACAGATGTAGTAAAGAATCCATCCTGTCTGCACAGAAGAAGGACCAATTTCGGTGAAGTTACATTATTTTTTTACTACATTTCCAATGCAAATAAGAGAATGACAAAAATGGCTTCAAGGATGAGAATTACAGTGAGAAGTTGGAGCAGAGTGAACATTTGCATGGGCAACATTTCTCATAGCTCATTTGCCTGACATCCTGTCTTCACACTGCCATGAAATGCAAATCCCAGGCCATGCATATTCATCAGCTGCTGCATGCTCAGAGCTGCTCCGGGTTTAAGTAACTATTAAATAGGTTTCTCAATTACAGGTTGAGAGAAGTGAATTTTCAGAGTTGCCTTGGGCTCGTTTCTTAAAGCTCAGGAGTGAGAGAAGGAAAAAGCAGCGCAGAAGAGCAGCAAGAGTGCTGCCTGGGCTGGTGCTGTCACCTGGCACAGGGGATGGCTGGGGAAGGAGGGGGAACTGAAATGCTCCTTGCTCAGCTGAGTGCCTCTTACTGAGCCTTGTCCACGGTCCATCACAGCTGGAGAGACTTTTGCCAAGTCTTTGGTGCTCCCCACAACTCTTCTGATGTGTAACTCTGTTTTCCACCCTGTTGGACTTGACAATGTGGGCTTGGAAGATGTGGCTTTTCCTGGTGCTCTGCTTTCCCTTGTTCCACAGACTGATTCTCTGTTTTTCAGAGGAACTGGTGCCATTACTGTGTTCCCCCTTTGCAATCTTCTTTCTTCCCCAGAGCAGATGATGGGTTTAGCTTGAAAACAGAAAGACCTTCTAGAGCTGGAGCAAAGTTTGCTTTTGAAAGCTCCTGGCTTTTCCAGCTGTTACCCACTGGTTTGCTGGGAGAGTCTGTCCCTTTGAGCAGCTGCTGCCCCCGAGGAGTCCCCAAGGGCTTTCCTGGCAGTGATGGCCCCAGCCTGGGCTGCTCGGCGGATGCTCCCACACAGAGGAGAGGACAGATCCTCTTTTTAGTTCTGCTTTCAGTTCTGCTCTGCAGACATGTCTGGTGTGTGACTGGGACCTGGTGCTGGTGGTCCTGGGGGCTGCGTGACTTCCTGAAACCACCAACGCCTACAAGGTGCCTCAGTCACCAGCTCCTTCAAACCCTCTCAGCATCCTCTGCTCCTGCACCCAGGGCAGGGGTGCCAGCAGGACCACAGGGGCACTGGGGAGAGGCTCCTTTAGCACCTCTGTTGTTGGTTCTGTCCATCACAGCCCATGATTTGAGTCACTCCCACACTGCTCATTCACCAGAAGTCAGTGACAAAGCCAGAGATCTTCAGGGGCTCTGAGAGGGACCCTGCAGCTCTGACTCATCTCCTGCTAAATGAGAAAACCTTGAGCACCAGGCCTGGAGCAGGCTGGTGTGGGGGCTGACCCCTCTGCCCCCTCCTTGTGCACTTTGACCCATGGCCCTTCCTCATCATCTCCTCTGCCACTCAGACACCCACTTTGGAAACATCTCTGGAGGAGAAACTCAGCCCATGTGAAAGCCCTGCCACCCATGCAGCACTCCTGGCTCCATAAACCCTTGGAATAAGGGGTTTGGGGATTCTATAGAATTGTAAATAGGATTCTATAGAAACCCCAAATCCATCTGTTACTTTTTTCTCATAAAACCCGTTGCTTTAAACAATTTTATTTTTACAGAATCCCCCTGCTTTGCTCCAGGGTGAATTTCCCCTCTAGTTTTTGATGCACGATTAAAACCCCAAGTGCCTAGCTGGGCAGCAGCCAAAGGGGCTCGCTGGAAGGACAGACGGCCCTCTGGCAGCAGCTGCTGACGCGGGTGGCTCTGCGCTGCCTGATCCGGGAAGGACCGAATGCCCATCACCTCTGCCCGCTGCCCCCGCGCCCCGCCCGCACCGCCAGCTGGGCATCGCGCCCTGCCCGCGCCCGCGCTAAACCACCCCGAGGAGGAAACAGAAACCAGCGCATCTGTTTCTAATGAAGCCGAAGCCAGTTTAGATCTAGCCCTGCACGAATCAGAGCTTTTAAAACACATCTGGAAGGGACGAGCTGTGCGAAGCGCACGGACCGCGCCGGCCCCGGGCCGGGAGCGCTGCTGGGGAGCTGCTCCCTGCGGGGAACGGCCCCTCCATTGCGGCTTTAACGCTGCTCCCTCCCTTCTGGGAGTGCTCCATGCTCACCCACCTCCTCCTCCTCAGCCCCTGCCCTCGGCCCAGCCCTGTAAAGTGCCCCCTGCGGGGCAGGAGCCGCGCCGGCTGCGCTCCTCGGGCAGTGTTTGACAGAGCATCAGAGCATCGCAGCATCCTCGGGGCAGCGCTGGGACCGGCCCGTTTCTGCCCATCTCCGGACACCAAGCGCGGTGCAAAAACACTGGGGAGCTTTGGTAGCTGCCAGGAACCCAAATCCCGGCATGTGGGAAGTGATGTCTGTGACCACCTTGGTCCTGATAGAGCACAGCGTGTGCCAAAGCCTTGCCGCGCTCCCTGGCCCTTGCCAGGCTCATCACCTGCCTGCTCCCGGGCAGGCACAGCATCACCTCAAAAACCTTTATTGCCCACGGGCTGCGAGTGCCGCACACCCGGCAGGGAGGAGGACCCTCTCCCGGAGCATGTGAGCCCCAGCGCAGGGAGGCTCCGGGCAAGGCTCACCACACGCTGGAGACTCCGCGTGTGCGGGCAAGCGGCCCGCTGGAAAAAGGCCCTTTGTGCCCCCCAGCCCTGCGGGTGCAGAGCAGCTCCTCGGACCCCGGCAGGGAGCTGACGCTGCACATCCTGCCCGTGTTAACCTTGGCCGCCGCTCCAGCGGCTTTCTGGGTGATTGAAACCATCCCGGCAGGGCAGGGCAGGGCAGGGCAGGCAGGGGCGGGCTCGGAGGGCAGAAGCGCGAGCCAGCGAAAAAAAACGGGCCAGGGTCTCCCCCGGGGAAAGGCCGGTTCGGTTGCTAGCCAGCCCTGCCCACGCGGGGACCCCCACCCTGGCACCGCTGCGGCACTGCCCACCTCGGCGGGCCCCCAAACTCCTGGCTGTGGGATAAATCCCCCTGAAGAGGCGGGATAACCCTCCTTGCAGAGTTCCAACATTTCCCCCAGCACACGAGCAAGGCTCCCCCCCGCCTCGGGAGCTGCCGGCGCTGTTTGGATCCATTCCTAACTGCCATCCCAAAATTCTCAGCGGGGAGCGCACCTCCAGAAAAACCCGAGCAACTTCAGAGCTTTATGGCAAACATCCTTCCCGCGGCCGAACCAGCGCTGCCCGGCCCGGGGCCGTTTCCAGCCCGTTTCTCCGGGCAGCCCCAGGGCAGGTTCCCGCACAGCCCCGATCCGTGTCCCTGTCGCATCCCGTCGGGAGAGGGCAGCTCTCCTTCGCTCGGAGCCGCCCAGCCTTTCCCCACGCGCGCCTGCAAGCCTTGGTGAGTTTTTAGTCCCTCCTGGTAACTTTTGCATTTTTTCCTCTTTTTTTTTTGACCCGTTGGACTGCAAAGCCCAGCTCTTCCCTACCGACACCCACCCGCAGATGTGTGGAATTTAGGAAAAATAAGTAAGAGTCCAGTAATTCCCTGAAGCTGTCGCTCTCACCCCAAAATGTGACAGCACCATAAGGCTTTGGCAGCAGGGGACCTGGAT